GCATCGAATCAGGAAATCGGATGGGCCGACACCGAGTCGGGCCGACAATCGAAGAGGATCAGGAAATCCGGACATCGAAAATGGGGACATCGGGCATCAGGAAATCGGGACATCGAACTCATCAGCAAATCGAAACAATGAGGACATCGAGCATCGAACAGTGAGGACATCAGGACATCCACAATCGGGCCGACGTCGAATCAGGAAATCAGGAGATTTGATTGAGTTGAGCTGGCTCGGGCCGAAATCGGATCGAGTCGGCCCGCCGCCGAAAAAGCATATATATATATATATATATATATATAACAACCCTCGACGGCCTGCGCGGCTCCCTGGCAGCGGCTCGCTGGGCCCACCCCTGGCGGCAGGGCTGGGATCTGAACGCTGCTTGGCCGGAAAAATCTCGACGGATGTTTTGTCCTTTTTTGGCCTACTTAAAATTAGTTTCTCGAAAGTCAACAATCTGTTAGAACTCTAATATATGTCCCCCCATATTCGATCTCATTTCCGCCCGCCATCTTAATCTTAGGTCGATCGGGTAGGTATTACTGTCAAAAAAGCATGTGGGCGGGGTGTCCTGTGTTCTTCGCTCTGGCAGGGAGGCATGCAGGAGAACAGGCAGAGCAAGACTCTGCAGCAAGACGGAGAACGAGACGAGAGCAAAACGAACAACAGCGTGAAGGTCCAGGCCTGGTCCAGTCCGATCGGCGCGGGCCCTCGCAGCCCCCCCTCCCGCCCCCCATTGAGTACATCTTGGCTGTTCTGGGCGCCCGTTTCGAGCTGGTGGAGCCTCTCCCCCAGAGGACGCACGGTTCCAAACAGCTGCATTAAGCAGAGGTCAGGAACCAGAACCCGGCCCCCTCCCCCCCCCTTCCAACCAATCTCGAAACGCCGAACAAAAATTACACCAGAGAGAAACCCCAATCAGGGGATGGTCTTCGCTGAGGAGATCGACCGGGAACCTGGGAGCCCAGGAACCCGGAACCAACAACCGGGAACCCGGAACCGGGCACCCGGGAACCCAGCCTGCTACCACTCTCGGCGGGAAACTTGTTTGCCAAATCTTTCAATTTCCGCTAGGACCCCTTCAATGCAAGCACTGACTGGGAAAAAAATTCACCTTTCTGGCGGTGCCTCCGGCTGGCTCCGCCCTCCCCCCCTCTTGGAAACGTAAGGCTCGAGTAAGCCGGAACTCGGGTCGACCGACATTGTTTGACGAGCGCCTCCTGGATTCTGACGGTCCAGTTTCCGTGGGATGCCCGCAGCGGGAGCTCGCGTCAAGTTGCAGGATTGGGTCTCGTCGTTTCTGTGATGGTCCCCGTCGGGTCAACCCGAGTCCCCCGTACCCGAGTCTTATGTCCCCCCTCTTGTCGGGGGCAACGATAGGGGGGGAGTGGCATAGGGGGGGATGCATCGACCCCCAGTCGCCCACTGATCGCCGATGTAGGGGTCCGATGGCCCCGACCCGCCCCGGAAGGTGCGGATTCGCTATATCGGCGGCCCATCGCCGATCTGTCGGCGAGGCATCGCCGATTCCAGGCCGATGCATCCCCCCCGAATGCCTATCCCCCGCTGTCGTTGCCCCCCCCCTCGGTGCGCGCTCCGCGCGCCGAACGGCAAAGGGGGGGGGGGTACACGCCGGTCGTTGGAAGTAGGTATTTTTTCGGGAGCTTTGAGATGGGGGTCAGTGCAAACGGGGGTCAGCCAGAGCGCCCGATCTTGCAGGATCCTGCAGGGCCAGGGGCGCACTGACCCGGGTTTGGGCGCAGGATCCTGCAGGATTTTGCAGGATCCTTCGCATTGACCCGGGTTTGGATGCAGGATCTTGCAGGATTTTGCAAGGCTTGGCTGACCCGGATCTGGATTGACCCGGGTCAGAAGATCCCCGATTTTTGGTCTCCCAGATCCCAGTCTACTTGAAGCGCCTTCCTGCCTCGAGCGACGGCACGCTTCTGCTGCGTTCTGCTATTCCCTGGGGGGGGGCCTGGACCCAATCAACTCCTTCCGCCTTCCTACTTCTTGTTTTTACCTACTTCTTCCGACCGACGTGCATTCCAAGAGTCAAAAACTAGCCTGGGGACGATGCTTTATGGTGTTCTTTGGATTACGTTTGTTTTTTTTGTTGTTGTTTTTGTTTTGTGTGTGTATTTTCTGTGTGTGTGTGTGTTTTTGTGTGTGTGTGAGTGTTTTTGTTGTTTTGTTTTTATTTGGTGCGCTCCGCGCGCCGAACAGCAAGGGGGGGTAATGACGTGTCCGCGGCGGGCCTGCGCAGGCCGGGCCCCCCTATGGGTCGCGTGGCCCCCTGGCAGGAAGGCGCGGTGGGCCTGTGTCCCCCCCCCCCCACCGGAAGCTGGAGGGGGGAAGGAGGAGGAGGACGAGGAGGAGGAGGAGGACGAAGAAGTGGAGGAGGAGGAGGAGGAGGAGGAGGAGGAGTGGAGGAGGAGGAGGAGGAGGAGGAGGAGGAGGAGGAGGAGGAGGACCCCCTCCCCCTCCAACTTTG